GGTGATGGGTGAGGGATCTCTCCTGGTGTTTATCTCAATTCATGAACCTTTCATTAGGTTTTCTCTGCCCTGTCCAGTTGCAGAGGGCAGTGACAGAGCAGCTTTAGTGGGTACCTGGTGTCAGCCAGGGCCAACCCACCACGGTAGGGAAGGGAAGAGGAGAGGAGAGAACTCAGGACGTTCCTACAAAATTCTGGCACAGTCTATGAGGTGCTAAACTAGGGAGCACAGCACTTCTGTTCGGAAAATAAGCCCTCATTGCAGGCTGAGTGCTGTAGCCTCTTCTGTTTGAGTTCCTGAACTTGTCCTGTCCCAGGGCAGTAAACTAAGAAGTTTTCCATTGGAAAGGAGCCAGTCCTGTATTCCTTCACACCACAAAGTGCTTTTAACTTGGTTTTTCTTCTCACAACTGTTAACAAAATTGAGTATAAATAGTCATTGGGATATGAACGTGCAGAGTGGAGAAGGAACGCTGCCTTTTCCCAGTAACAGCAGCGAAACTCTTTGCCATTTCTGACAAATTTCCCTTGAAAAGAGATGAGCTGAAACTGCAATTGGGAGCTGGTCAGGCATGTCCCTAATTCAGGATTCCAGGGCTTGTGGTTGTCAGTGAGTTTCTTACTGCTTATAATTCTTTTTATTAATAAAATGCTGCTTTGCAATCAGATAGTTGCCTAAAATTCCTCTTGGAGATTAAAGTTGGCTGATTGATTCAAAAGCTGGATGAAAATACCTCTCTGCAAATCATTTTAACAGACATCAGCCTGCATGTGTGCAGGGGTATGGGAGAATGGCCTTTTGGGAAAGGACTCTTTGAACAGGGGACTTGATATTTCTGGCTTAGCCCAGCATTTATATATTCAGACAATTCCAATAATTCATCCTGTAGTCTGGTTCCAGACAAGTGACACTGTGTAAAGCAGATTCAGTATCTGCACTTGTGTCCTTTTTTTTATTAAAGGTTTAACAGAAAATTTTCCTCCCTCAAAACTGTACCTGGCTGGAGCCTCTCTTGTCCTACCAAAGTGGCTCTTCTTGCCATAGCTCCAATCCTACCCCTGCTGGCAAAATGCAGATCTGCTTTAAAACGTGAATGTTAGACCTGCCATAAGTCTGGTCCTTCCCACTCCCCCCAGGCTGTTCCCTGCAGGGGATGTGACAGGTCACAGGCTGTGGGTACAGTCACGGGCTGCAGGTTCCTGCATCAGTCTGGGGGGCTTTTCAATTCTGAATATGAACCAAGAGACTTCAATTACTTTAGATCAGAAAATAATTCCTGTTTCTGACCGGCAGCATCTTCTACAAACAAAACTACTGAGATAAATTGTGGCAGGCAGCAATTTCTCAGCAAAACCAATTTTGTGACTGGCCTGATTTTCCCCAGATTCTACCCGAGAATCCACCTAATTAGATGAGCCCAACTCCTGCTGTCACACACCTCTCCTGCTGCAGAGGAGAGCCAAATTTGAAGTTGCACATCCCTATTGTTGAAGTTGAACCCCCTGCTCTGGGATGGAAAGTGTTGTGTTTTAATGAAACACCCAAGTGTTGATCCAGCTGCTGCATCCTCTGGGAAACACGAGGGAAACATGGAAAGCCAACATCCATGTGGAACGTGGCAGTGCTTGTCTAGGGACCGGCACATCTCCCGTTGTCCCCCCTGCACCCAGAAAGGAACCAAGGCCTGAATTTCCCTGGTCAGGGCGGCCCTTCAAACTTGCAAGAAGAATTTGGGGTCTGTCCCCTCAAAGAGAAGGGGAGGAGAGACTGTGCAGCAGTTCCAGAGGTGTCTTCCAGACCCCCAGGCAAACTCTTAAGGGTTCTCAAACGTTAACATTTCTGTAGGTAAAAATAAATAGGCTTGACTCCAGGCCCAGCCCCAGCTCCACCTCCATCCCAGCCCTGTCCCACCCCAACTTCGTTCCCCTGTCCATCCACACACCATCCTCAGCCCTATCTCTATCCCCAGACCCAACCCCATCCCAGCTCCATCTCCATCCCTTCCTCTATCCCATCTCTGCTCCATCCCCACCCCCACCTCCATCCCAGCTCTCTCCCCATCCCCAGCTCCATCTCATCCCCATTCCCACCTCCATCCCAGCTCCACCCCCCTCCCCATTCCCACCCCACCCCTATCTCACCCCCCAGCTTTATCCCACCCCGTCCCATCTCCATCCCCCACCCCGAGCCCAGGACCCCCCTCTCTCCCCGCAGTGTCCGGGCGCTGCCGGTGCCAAACACGGGGTTTATTTGTTTATTTACACCGGCGTTCCACCGCTCCCGGCCGCGATTGTCACACGCGGGGACATCCCCCATCCCGGCCTCCTCCCGGTGTCATTCCCGGGGCTTCACCCCCCCCAGTCCCGCGGCGGGGCCCTGCCGGGAGCCCCAGGTGGGAAAAGGGGCTCCGGATCCCGCTGGATCCCCGGGATCGCCCTCCCCGCGGCCAACAAGGGGATCAGCCTCTGTTCTCCAGCACAGCCCCGGGGCAGGGATTTGCCCCATCCCGGCCCTCCCTGGAGAGACCCCCACCCCGAGCCTTGCTGGAGCGAGGGGAGGGGGAGGCAGGGAGCCAGGATTGGGGGGGGTTATCCCAAGGGTGGTCCTGGGATGTGATCTCGGGTCCGTGTCTTTCCAGCTGCGCAGCCGGGAGGGACCCTCGCCGTGGGATGATGGTGGCACTGGAGCCTTTGTCCCTGCTGGGGCACCGAGTCCCTCCCTGCCCGAGAGCCCTGGAATTCCATGGACGGGGAAATCAATCCCTGTCACCTCTGCAAAGCCCGTGGCCCTTGGAGAAAGGAGTGACAAAGGCCCTGGGGACAAACCCTCGGGGACAAAGGGGTGACAGAACTCCCAGGGACAGACCCTCAGGGACAAAGGGGTGACAAAGCCCCGGGACGGGGATGGGCTGTGTGGCAGTGCTGTCATTCAGGAACGCCCCCGGGTGCGATGGTGCCACCCGGGGAGGTGACACAGCTGTCCCTGGGGGTCACCCGGGGGG